CTGGAGACCTTGATAATTCACAGTTCAATGTCCATTGCTAGGTTCTTCCTTTGATAACCTTTTCCTCTCTTGGGGATGTTCCTTTGACCTCCTGTCTGCTTTTTAGGCACCCAAAGTCTAAATGCGCCCAAACCTGCCCAGCTCCTTACCCCTCTCCACACAAGAAAGGGTCTACTCCAGGCACTTACCTCGTAGTGTGGGTTTAAGGAAATGTGCTCTCTTCCCAAGGTATTTGTTTATGTCTTAATTATGTAGTTCAGGGGGTTTTGCCTGATTAATACTGTTTCAAATAATAACTAACAAGTGTTAAAGATTATCACCACAGCAAGCAGAGCCTCACTGTCTAGGTTTGAATCCCAGCTCTACCACTTGGTGTTGGAGGAGTCTTGGAAAAGTTACTTAACCCTCTGTGTTTCCACAGCTATGAAATGGGGCTGGCAGTAACAGTATCACACTTTGGAGGGCTGTTATGAGAATTAAATGAGTTAATGCATACAAAGCACTTACGTCAGGACCTAGCCAACTGCAAGCGTGCAATCTGTGTTCACTGCTATCATCACCATTACCAGCAACATCATTATTTTGGAGTGGAGGCCTCACTACTCCCAAGGATCTCTCTGTGTAGCAATGACACAGTTGAGAGAAAAAGTGTGTGATCTAGTCCGCTGCCAACTGTGTGCTCTGGAGCCCTCGGCAGAAAGGTGTCATAAATATGCAAAACAACCACGGCCACCAAAGAAAAAGAGGGAGAAGGCTTCTCCCCCAAATGAGCTGCTCCATAAGAACTCACAAAGGAATTGGAGACAGGTGAAAAAGCCCTTTAAAACTTCATTAGTTTAGATCCCCTAATTTCGCGTTTTAGTGGCTTCAACGTGAACAAGACAGCGTGAGGACATCCAAGTTAAGCTTTGAAATTGATGGGCTAAAGGGAAGAATCAAACTGTAGATATTAAGGGATTACACAAATGTTTTATAGAGCAAATTGTATCATCCAATTAGTCCTTTAATTGCATGTTAGAAAGAAGCTGACTTTCCCACTATCTACACATTTAAGGTTTTGACAAGTAAGAAGAATAAACATGATGGAGGAGTTCCCTTTTTAACAGGACAAGTCACTGCTTTTAGATTTTCCTGTAATAGATTAAGAAGCATCATTTACACACACACTGCTAACGTGCTAACTCCAAATGAAGCTCTCAGTCCTCTACAGGAAATATGTAGAAATTTTATCAAATACTGCATTAGTCTGAAAATTACTGAATTCTAAATATATTACCCAGTGTGGACCATTCACTTATTTTGACACGGTATCTATAACATGTTTGTTTTGGATTAAAGGGTTCTTTATCAATGGTTGATACTTCAGACCAGAATTTCTTTAAGCTTCATCTTACCAGTTTCAAGTTAAACATGTACAACTCAAAAAAATTCAGATTGTCATAGAGAATATCTGCAGCACTGCATGGAAAATCTGGAATCTTTCTACCACACTGGCTCGAGAGATCTTCACTACCCCGGGGGTTTCTCAAATTTCGAGCTCTGACTAAGGGGAAATGTCCAAGATGTTATATGCACCAGACAAGAGGTGCCCCAAATACATAAATGTCCATGGCAGTAACAGTAGCCTTTCATAAAGCTTTAGCCCTCTGCCCTCTCCCTTCACCCCATTATGATTAGACTAAAAGCTGCCTGAGAGCAGAGACTATACTTCATTTGATTCTTTATATCTACCACCTGGCATTGCTTTTTAACATGGCATGTAAGAAGAGCATAATAAATGTTGAATGAGTGAATATATTTGTCCCTTGTAATATATTCTTAAATGTTTCTCCTTTCCCTTTATTAATTCAGTTTTTCTTTGGTATGAGATAGAGAAGCTGGGATTGTGAAATACAAAAATTAGAGAGATCTTCTAGTTCCACTTTATATATGATGAAACTTAAAATGATAGCTAACCCACTGTCCTGTCCAAAATCATCTGTAATTTGGAGAGCCTGTTTCTCAAAAAGAAATGACTCTACTAAATGCAAAGTATAGCTGCTGAGATAAGAAAGTTTTTCCATTTTGCAGCCCTACTGGGTTTGTATTTCTTGACCTTGAATCACCATGTAGGGCAGGGCTCTAGAAAGCAACCTCCAATGCAGGCCGTTAGGAAGACCTTACTACCGAATTTAAAAAAACCAAGGGATTTTTATACTGGACAACATCTGGAAGGTAAACAATGTAGCTCCCTGGAAGGAACTCACTTACCTAAATTAGCATAGTAGTAAGGAAAATCTCCCAGATAAGATGAATACTGTGGTAGTGCGAACAATCCTCCAGGATGTTTGTTCCATATTAAACTGTTACGTGATATGTGCTTGAATATTCTGTCCTGAATAATCTAGAAAATGAAAACATAGCACATGGTGAGGATGAGAGTCTGATGGTATTTGAGAAGGAACATGTTCAATTTCACTTTGAGGGATTATGACCCTCAAAGTAGGGACTCTACCAACCCATTTCTCCACTGATAAAAATGTCTAGGACACAAAAAAGAGCAATGGGAAAGGGGGAGAAAGATGAATTATGGTTAATCAAATTTCCTAATTAAACTTCAGCTTAACCATGAATTCTAACTTGTCTTTCTATATCAGTAAGTCCAAGCTCATTTCAAAGCAGAGTGTGTTGAACACACTTGATGGTTGATGTATCCAGCAGTGGTTCAAGATCCGTGTCAGGAAGATCTGCTTTCAATGCCCAGAGAAGTCCATGTGGACACTGAGCTGAGCATATGGAAGGCATGGCACATTCCAGAAGCTATTTAGGGTTTGATCTGATTCTTTACTTCAGGAAGCTTGTCATATTTCATTTTGCTTCCAAAGACAATTGTAGAACTTTGGGATACTGGTTAACTGAACTTTTTCTGTATTTCATCTCATCAAGTAGTGAGTAAACAATTGCTCAAAGCATCCTACATGACAGCATAAGAATCATGGCATATGAAGACTAATAGCCATGCTAGTTCATTAGTTTCGTTGGACTTTGAGACCTTGCAGATCATTAAATTCTACATTTAGAGTCAAATACTCTCCCGTCCTGAATTATTTGTCAGATGAATGTGATTAGTGCACTTTACAGATTTCTCTCTGTGACTTTCAAACTCTTGTAATTATACCATCCTCTCATTAAGACATGTCTTGGCAAATAATTAACTTGATAAAGAATTTCATGTTTTCAGCAATCTGCTTTTTTTTTTTTTTTGG